GATCAAGCAACAAGAAGAGTGTGTGATCTAGATTGCAGTGATATCACAGACTGGAAGAAAGAAGTCGAATGCGGGAGATGGATTGGAGTAAGGCCTAAGCAACGATCGATGACATTTATGGTTTTGAACAGGACTAAAGAGAGAAATGACTAGATTTGATACCAAGCTAAAGAGAAAAATAAGACAACATAAATGGCTAGGGTTTAATTTTAAATTCAATAATAGTTAACTTACCTTATATATTAGGTATAAATAATAGAATTTTATGAACTAATATTAGATATTAAAAGTGAAAGAGTTTCGAAATCAGAAGGTTGAAAAATAGATTGTCCAGTTCTCAAGAAAAGGATTTGATATAAGTTCTACTATTTTTTTTAATTGTATAAATATCTATAACCAAATGTAAATATAAATTGTGAAGAAAACTGAGGGTATTGATTTGAGAGAAGTAGATTTGGAAGAAAGACAACTAACTTTACAAAGAAGAGACCAAGTTGAGTCACGTAGTTAGCTTAGAAATGCAACTTATTTAAAATTTATGAAAACTAATTGAAGATAATGTCAATAATTTAGAGATATTAAGTTCCAAAATTAGCAAATGGAATATTGTCAAGTAATTGGGAATATAGCATGATTTTATTTAGTAAACTTGTATGAATAGGTATTACACTAAAGGAAGTGGACGTTAAAGATGAAACGACATATTAAGCATTTAAAAGTCGAGATGAGTAATTACATTTTTATTTGTACTAATTTCAATTCTTTAAAATTTAATTGCATTCAGGTTTAAAATATTTAGATCCTCATAATTAATTGAAAGTTTAATTTACATAACTTCTTTAAAAATGATTCTGGACATTGCACGCACACTTCAAATGATTGAAAAAAATAAATGAAAATGAAGATAAATAAAAGTATAAGTTGATCAAATTAGCCATCATCTTATTGTATTAAATGAGAACAATATTGCACTCATGAACATAAAAATTGCAAAAAGTTTGGAAAAAAATAAAAATAGATGCACTTTATTTGTACAATGTTTTAGACGTTGCTCCTGAAATGATTTTTTAAACAAAATATAAATATAAATATTTAAGAGTTTCTAATTAAATGAAATGTAAATGTTCAATCATTTTTATGTGCATAAATATTAGAGTATGTGTATAAGAAAATTTAGTAAATAAAAAAATTATAATTATTTATTAAGTTGTTACATAACATAAAATTATTTTGTGCTTAATACAAGAAAAGCTCCATTGAATTAAATCGCTGATAAAAGAGTGTTCATTTATATAATGAGAGGAGCTGATGACATAAAAACATCATATCGTGTAAATCATTATAAATTTTATACTTGTATAATTTAACTGTCTGACCATTTGTTTTCGTCTTAATAAATTCAAACATCAGGGCTAAGTCATGAAATCACTTGTACGAACAACCCTCAAACTAGTAAGCTCTTATAAAAATGAGCACACCAAGATGGCCAAACCCTCGCACCCAAGTCATTCCTCTGCTCTCATTCAAGTTGTAGTATTTGAAACATAGCTCCAACTTCCCCGTACTTAGCTCAATTTCATAGTGATACAATAGCTCGCAACACGAACTCCAAGTTAAAACTAACTTTTGAAAATCGTTAAGGCCACTCATCTTTTGGCCACATATTGGGTGATGACTCAATTTTGTGCTCTGTGAAGAGCAAGATGCAACTTACTCAATATCCTTTAAGCCACTAAATAGTGAAAGTCGCCTCCATTTTCTATCAAGTTATTACAATCATTTCCCTTTTCATTAAATAAAATAAAATAAATTCATTGCCCGTTTGCTTTCATATTATTATTTCTTTCCTAAAAAGGCACTATTTCTACTTATTGCATATTATTTATCCTTGCATTGATAGCACCCAAGACAAAAACAAAGGCTGAAAGGCATGTAATGACCTTCGTTTTGTTAAAAATTATTCAGAAAGAGGCATTTCCACTGCAGTCATCACCCATCCTTACTATCAAATAACCTCTAACGCCATATACCACCAATAGCCTTAAAGATTTCTAACAAGTTGGTTGTCATCCAACAATAATTTATTTGTGGATTTTTTTGTGTCCCAACACGGCCCTGGAACATGGAATTTTCAAAATGAGAACAACAATCAAACGAAAAAATTTAATTTCATAATTTGATTTACTGCCACTAATAGTTTATAATCTAAATAAGTTGAAAAGGCAACAAACAAATGTAATTTAAATAAGCTAAAAAATAAAATCAAATGTGAATTACATTTCTTTAAGTTAGTTGTATTATCTTTTCTTGCATTTATTTTCTAGCCCAAGTCTTAAAATTGAAAATTAAAATTTAAATTTTAGCGATCTATGAACAACTTGATCAATACTCAAACTCCTAAACTACAGTAATTTTGCAATAAATAAATAAATAAATATGTTAGTCAAAACTAAATGAAACAATAAAAGCATTTGACAGTGTAATTTTACAAATATTACAGTTCAAAATATTCGTATTATACTACATATATCTAAATCAATTTAAACATAATTGTGGCATGAGCACTATCTAAGATGTATCAATTAAGATACTTCAATACTAATAGTTTTTTTTTTTTCTTTTTTTTAAGCATGTGCATGTGTACCTTAGCATCCCGCATTGCCCCCCCCCCCCCCCCCCCCCCCCCCCAAAACATTGGGACAGCTCGAAGTTGGAGTATGCTGCAGCATTCTTTTTTAGAATTTTCCTTCAACCTTAGATGCGTGAAACCAAATGTATTATCATTGAAAGAGATAATGGAAATGTTATTACCTCTATTCGGGAAAGTATGAAGAAAAAGGATGGCAACATCAGCTCAGTAATGGGCCCCATATTACTTTTTTTTGGGATTTCAAGGAAATCCTTTTCTTTTTTGTTCATAAAGAATGTAACAAAGCAGCCCATTTTTGTTCCAGGCTAGCTTTGGATAGATCATTTGTTTGGGATGCTCACACTTGTGACCTCACTTTTTTTAGTGTCGTCGTTGGATGACATCATCTACACTATTTCTATGTAGCTTTTATTTTTTTTTACATTTTGATTAATGCAATATGCACATATTCACAAAGTCACGTGCTTGATGGCTATTTTACTCAAGATGGGTTTGACGCATAGCCAACACACACCTCGCCTGATCGAACTTGACTACCACTTGCTCAAGCGAGTTCAGATTTAGCCCCTTGCCTCCATCCCCGTTCGCAACACAGTTCACCCTCTATCTTCACTGCTACTTGCTTTGTTTTCTTACTTTGCTGGTAACTGCGACAAATTTGCTACGAGGAAAACATTGGAGACTACTCTCATCATTGTAATGCTTCAACAGTTGCTTCCTCCTCATGCCTTAGCTCACCGACACAGCTAAGCAAACACAAGTTCTTCCTCACCCTCATTTGCTCTCCGGGTTCCAATATGAGGTTGTCAACAATCATCATCATCTCGCATTTCAGCCCCCGACTATGCACGGCAGCTCGTAGCTTGTGTCGCCTTTGTTCCCTAAACGCTAGCATTACTAGCAGATTAAAATATAGTGATAAATTATGCCAGGTAATAAGAGAAGGAAATGAAGGAAAAGAGGAGAAATTATTTTATTTCAGGATGACACAAATGATGCGGAATATTTAATCTGACCAGAACTCCAGCATATAAAATTAAATCACAAATTGCATCGCACGGCCTAGATAAAAAAAAAAAATATACCATCTTCAGTCTAAAAGGACCTCCATATAAACTGACATTACACGTCATTGAACAATTTGTGAAATACAAAATCGGGGAGTATCCACAGGAATGTTTTCTAAAAGAGCTGACCTACGTGAAGCACTTCTAACCCAACAACATGAAAGTAATTAACACACTATAATATCCTTACAAAGGCAAGAAAACAGAGAAGGTATTTATTCATGCTCATAGTGGAATCCAACAAATTCAAACTGAAAGACACAAAAGATTACATATTTGGTAAAAAAGTTAAAAAGATAATTTAAAGAACTTTAACGGGGGTGAAACTTGATTTAAATGTAAGCCAACGGCTGAACATTATCCATGAAAAAGGTACAGTTGCTCAATTTGTCAAACAAGGATCACCCAAAGAAAACAGCCCATTTATATTCAAACTTTGCTAGCATCTGTTGTCAATTTAAACGCTAGTCAATGAAAAAAGACTAGGTAATTTAAGAATATTAAAAATAAATGTAAACCTAAAACTACCTAACTATATGCAAGCTGCTGTTTTACTCAACTGACGAATAATATCTGAATAAACTTACATCAATTTATTATATTTTATGAAGCACAAAAAGCTGCTGGTACTAAAGGCCAATCCAAACAAAGGAACTTTTCTTTCCTCTCTTTGAAACTTCATTAAATCGTAAAATGGTGAACATACTTATGTCAAAAACAGAATGTATAGATAAAGAGTAAATATTAATGTCGATCATTAAAAATGACAAATTTAGAGCACCTAAATTGAAAAAATCCAAATAGGTTTATTCACCGGGAAAAGAAATAGAATATACCCCGACAATGCCGATATACCACCCAAATAGGTACTTCATGCAAGGGCATGTGACTCCAACTTAGTTTGTTGAGATTTCAAAATTTGAGTTCAACATGATGTAGCACATTCAAATAAAATTACAACTCTGCATTCACTTGATTTTTTTTAAATAAAAAAGTAGTTCAAATTCGTGCACTCCAAAAGAAATAGTATAAGTTAACATCAAATAGCTATGTGTTCACAACATTTAAATAAAGCAAATCAAAGTACTATAATCAGTGTTCATCCCTAATCCATGAAAATAAAAAACTGAATATTTTTACTACGGACAATCTTGTTTACCTTAACGCATGACACAACTTATCAAGAAAACAACCATGCATAGCATATGTGAAACAAGCTTAACACACAACATGCATTATACTTGTGACATATTGCAAATAATCTAGAATTAAAAAAAAGTTACCCAGGAAATAAACGAGCTGCAGTGCGATATGCAACCATTGCTTGATCAGTCTCTTCTTGTACAGCATAAGCATTTCCAGAGCCTATCCAAGCAGGTGGAAAGGTGGCATCCACACTGGTTGCCTTGCTGCACAATTGAAATAACATAAAGAAAGATGACCAGCTATCTGAAAAGGTTATTCTGCAATAAATGACAATTTAAAAAGCCACCTACATAGTTAATAAGAAATCGTCAATATATAATAAAAATGTCTAAATGCACAGCTTAAAGCATTCTTACAAAAAAATTGATGGAGTGGTAGTTAAAGAGATTTCAGGGTTGGTGGAAAAGAGGTGGCAGTGGTAACTAATTCATGCACACTGGACCAAACTAAGTCTAAATCTTTGATGCTTACACAGTTTTCTTTTGTTTTGGGGGGGGGGGGGGGGGGAGCACCAAAACGCTGTAAGAGTTTACAAAATCTGATAATGTTAATAAATTAATAGGCCGACTCAATTTGTAGGAAGAAAGTTATAATCTTTTGAAGTAGATTGATTATACTGATGAAAACTAAGACTTCTGTTTTTATAAGGTTGTTAGACTCGATTTTGTGAGAGCCTAAACTGTTTAAAGCCTTTGGAAGGCGGAGGTGATGTAGAAAATGGCAAGTGAAGGTATATGAGCTAAATGATTCTCAGCTTAATAAGTTTGCAAGGTAAGCCTTCATTGCTTCACAAACCAAGTATAAATTATAAACCTCAAATACAGAAGTCACACAAATGTATAGACAAACCAGAGCAATTGTTTAATTTCATTAAACTAATCCATTAATTATAATGCAAGAGATCAACTATGAAATTCAAAATACAAGAAAGAAATTGGAATTACATTAATTTCCATTGTGGATAGTGCTTGTCTCACGCCCAAATTTTTATTTCAATTTTGTAACACCAAACCACATGAATGAAGCTTTGGATGGTTAGTAACCTACACATTTAACTTCTTAAAACCCCCGAGTTGAATTCTTTAAGTGTGACATATTATTCTGAATTTCAAAATCCTTTTTGACTGCTTATGACACTACCACTTTGATAATGTTTTTATTGACACTATAACTCCCTAATTTAATGCTTCATGAAACGTAGATCTCCAACTTGAATTATTTGTAACTTCTTGTATTGATGATTACGATTATGATTATAATTATGATTATGAAGAGTCAAAAACAAATATGTAGAGGGGTCATAAATAACTTTAAAAACAAAATAAGAAAAGCATATTAATTCGACTACAACAAACAAATCTCTAACGTCCAATTAACCTATAACTTCAACCTTCCAACTAACTTAACTCCTGAATAAAATTACAATAAGAATTTGATATAATTTAGAATAAGATGAGCTTGAAGTAACCTTCATTTTTATGTTCTTGTCCTACATGACATCTCCTCCTTTTGGTGATACATTACCATAGAGTTAAAAAGGTTTTAGTAAAACGAGGGGTCAAAATTCCATGTACTTGTACTGATGGCAAAGTGTCTCGAGATTTAGATGCATCTTGTCATATAATGAGTAGCAATTAATAGTTGCAGCAACTATAGAAGTGATCAATATCTCTTGCAAGTGGGTTAATTTGCCAATCTCAATATTTTATAAAATCTTTAGATATGTTCGCTGCACTGAAAATGTGTAACACTGGTTTAAATTTACTAGTCTTTTTTAAATTTAGTATTATGCACTCAGACTACGGTTTCGATTTGATAAGATTAAAAGATTAAATTATAGTTATAAATACCAACTTGTCTTGGATAAACTATTCCTTCAACGCAAATACCATAATTTAAATTTATGCAATATGAGACCCAGCTCAATTTTTTAAAAAAATTTTATAATGAAGCTCACGGCACATTAGGTGCTACATGAGGCTTGCGCCACACCTAAAGTGAGGCCTGCCTTAAGGCATGTCTCTTCTCAGTTATAGTGAGTTGTATGCAATTATATCTAGAGTTTCCTGAAAAATAAATATATGTAAAATAAACCCAGTAAATATTCCTTACCCATATAAAATACCATTGAGGATATAATTGAAGTTGATACTATCAACATAGTCATTGTTTTAGAATCAAATTAATATTCTTATTAATTAACATTGATTAAATAAGAGAAAGATGACTAAGATGTAGATTGAGAAATGAAAGAACTTGAATACAAATGAGGATGGGTGAGGGAGAAAATAAATTATTATGATGATAATTCTAATACAAGCTCGTTACATGATAGGAATGATGGGTGCTTTTAAATTTAAAAATTCTAGCCTTAGTTGTATGTTCTATTCTTACTTTGATGAATGACAGTATGGGTATGAGTGTGAGAAAGACTAAATGCATCAAAATCTATTTTGCATTGTAATGTTAGTATGCCTTATTTTGATGTTTGTGTATTACCCTTCTTATCTTGTGATTTCATATTTGGATATTAAGATATTAGTTGTTACTTTGAATAATTTATTATTTTTACTATATTAGAAAGTTAATATATTATATTTTACCTATCAATAGGCTATAACATTAGTATATTACTTTCTCTACATATTTAAAGCTATTATAATACTTCTTCTCTTGCACAATTTGTTGATTTTGAGACCTACTCGTCAAAGTGCCTCGAGGCTTATGCTTCGCCACACAGATAAAAAATGTATTAATACCCAATTGTGTAATTTTAAACTTTGACAAACACCAAAAATTTTTGTTTTGTAAACAATCTCAACATTACTTCTCACATAAACCTATAAACATATCATTCTCATTAGAATTTAATTTGATAAGAAAAAATACCAAAAATCTAAAATTGGAATCAGAATCTAACTTTCTTGTGTTACCTACGTTTCTTCCTCCCTTTTCTCCTCTTCCTCTTCCCCTCTTCTTCTTCTCTTCTTCTTATCTTCTCATCTTTCTCCTCTTCTTCTTCTCATATTTATTCTTCCATGATTTCTCTCGCCGGCTGCTTTAGGTTTGGCCTCCCTATAGCTCACAGGGTAGTGAAATTGAGGGTGATAATATAGAATGAAAAGCTAGTTTAAATTTATATTAAAACAGCTAAGTAATTAATTAATTTAACATAAAATAAATCTCCACCATTCGGCTGATAAACCACTACATGTCATTGTACGTGGAAAGGCCAAAAAATTCCACTTTCAGGTAAAAGTGAAGGCACAGTATTTTTAGATTAAGACTTCAGAAAAATTTTATTAAAAAAAACAAATTCCATAAAAATTTTATTAAAAAAACAAATTCCATAACCTCCTAGTCTTTAAAAATTAGCATATAATCATACATATTAAAATGATCCTTTTCAACAGTAGAACAAAATGAAATAATTTTTCTAATTTTCAAGAAAAAAAGTTAAACTTTTGAGTATAATTTATTTGGGGTATTTTTACACTTGTACATTATCAAAAATTATAAATTATAGAAGGAAGGGCAATCTAAAGGGATACAAGATAGATGAAGATGAATCACTAAAATACAAAGACAGAATTTATGTTCTAGATGTTGAAATTTTGAAAAAATAAATTCTATAAGAACATTTATTTGGCTATATAATAAATCAAGAAAGAAACAAAATGTAGCAGGAACTCAAAAATTAATAAACATTTTGATATCAAATATTTACAAAAAAAAAAACCGTTGCAAAATTTATTACTGAATATCCTACATGCCAGCTAATTGAAATCAAACATCAAAGGGCCGGTAGACAGTTATAACCATTACCACTTACATGGTAAAAACAAGAGATAGCAAAAGATTTTGTGATTAGTTTGCCTAGAAAACCTTCCCCATTTCCGTAGCATGTTGCTCTAGTGTTGCCCTCACAATATACGTATGCTCGATCACGCTCACAAGCAAGAATTGAGCTTTGCTTACCTAGGACCTATGGGCAAGGAAGCTCACTCAATCTTCCCTCTATTACCAAGCATGCCACCCTCGACTCCACTTTCTCACTCTATTTTGCACGAGACGTGCAGTCTCTCTTCCATCCTTATTTTTGTGGGTTCGATCACTCTCCCCAGCTCAATTTGTCTCCTTCCTCATCCCTTACATTTCGTCACCCTCATCGATTTCTCGTTTTCACCTCAACGCCACGAGATGACTAGCATCATTTCATTTGGACCAAGGCTAACCAATTCCACTTATATAAGAAATTACATTTGGTGGCCTTTATGAGAAGCATAGCGTTACTTCGAGTAGAGCTGCATAAATTTCTTTCTCATCTATGTAAAGATTTCAAAATAAATAACAACATTGTAATATTGTGTAGTGAAAATAAATAAATTAATTAATTCACTTGGCAAATATAGATCAAATTTCGAATTAATGACGACACAAGTTAAAGAGGAAAATTAGAGATAATTAGGTGGATCAAATCTTGTTGTGTAATTTATCTCAATGCTAGATCATATCATTAGAACATTTAAAAACAAGGCAACAACCACATAAGAAGTACAATTCTAAGGCGGACACACATTCAATAATGATGAAGCCATCTATATTTTCAACAAAAATAATTTAAAGGTTTCTCACAACAAGTTTAGGTATAATCTAAGTTGTGTGATTGCACGATGCATAACCCAATGCAACAACAAAAGTTAAGAGGGCAATTAGAGATAATTAGGTGGATCAAATCCTGTTGTGTAATTTATCCCAAAGCTAGATCATGGCATTACAACATTTAAAAATAAGGCAAAAACCACATCAGAAGTACAACAATTCTATGGAGGACAAATTTTCAGTAATGTTGAAGTCACCTATATTTCAACAAAAATAATTTAAAGGTCTCTCACAAATGTCAATTTTAGGCATTATCTAAGTTGTGCAACTGCAAAAAGCATAACCCTTCATAATTTGAGCCAACGAGCAAATTATTAAAGTAAGAGATAAAAAATATATTGCCTCATTATTAAGTAAAGGTGGACATGCTAAAATACAAACTTAATAATTTGGTTAAGATAAGCACAAAATTCAAAATCAATAGTTTTAGAATTAATAATACTTTTATCTAAATCACCTTGTTTGAAAATATTGGTTTAAAATTTTATTGCAAATTTTGTTATTTAAGCTTAGTTTTATTTTGAATTTTCACCTACTTAAACTTTCATAAGTAGAAGATGAAAGAGAGGCATGGGTATGTACCAGAAAAATATAACCAACTGAGATTAAAAGAAAACGAGCAAGAATAAGAAGAGATTTTTTTAGGAGCAAATAGATGGAATCTTTCTCATAATTATGCAAGCACACCTCCAAATGAATATTTGATAATAAAAATAGTCATTTTGAATATCATGCAAGAAAAAAAAACTATAATTAAAGAAATAAAGGAATGTAAAAAAAAATTATAGTTTTTCATAGTATCAATGAAAAAATATTCCTTTAAACAAAAGCTTTACGTGCATCAAAAGATAGTCATGCCAACAAGAATTCATGGAAAATAAGAAACATATTATTAATTATGAGGCCATGAGATGAACATTCGGAAAACCTAAAAAGACATTTTGGGATACAAAGTCTGCATTTTTAGGAGTCCGTGCAATTATATGCATTCTATACCTGAAATGTTTTCTTGCTTGATCGTACTTCTTTATGCTGTAGTAGTAGCAACCGATAGCAAACCATGAAATAGCTCTAGAACAAAGAGGCAATTGTTATCAGAAGATTTTTCAAAAATAAATATATACGAAAACGTGAAAACATAGCTGCTTGGAAACTTCTACAAGCTATTGCAAGACAAAATGAAGACTTGGACACTTAAGAGATACAACAAAAAAAGTACAAAAGCACCATCAGTTCAAATTAGAGGCCTAAAACTGAGCATTTCAAAAAGAAAATACTCATTTTAACAACAAAAAAAGTAATAATGCTAGCACAAGAGTAAAACATCCTCAGTAATATTCATGTGCCATAACATCATAGAAAACAAAGCAAAATGAAAGAAGGAAGTTAATAGTCCTTCGAAAAAGATAAACAAATAAAGTGGCATACAAAAATGTAATCAAATGAAAACGAGTATTTTAAGAAAAATAAGACCTGGAAATGTAAACGAATAATTTACTAAAGTAATGCAATACAAAGGGAAGCTATGATGTTCCTATGATATTTAAAACAGCTCTAAACAATATTCAGGCCTCTAAAATTTGCAGTCCGCAACAATGCTCAATGAAGTTAAAAACTGGTTCTGATAAAAGGAAGACAGTAAATAACTGGACAGCATCAAATATTTAAAAGAAAAGAAATCATCAAATTAACAAATAACTTCGTAAAAATAGTCATTTAGGTCAACATAGTATGAAAGCTCAATGCGTGACCAATTATGTAACATAAAAATCAAATTTCAACCTGTAACTAAAAATACAAAATATAGAAACGAATTGAACCAATTCCACACGTTCAAATTCCTCAACATAGAACAGAGTAAACAAAAGTCAGCACATGACTCACTTTTGAGGATGGTCCTTTATCAAATTGCAAGCAAGAAGATATAGATCATTAGAATGTCCAAGCTCCATAGCAGCAGCCAAATGAAATAAAGTGCATTTCATATGAAAAGGATCTTTTGCAAGTAACCTAACAAATAAAGGCAATATAATCATGACTTGCTATAATCACTACAAAAACAGCTGATTTTTTCAAATTACTCGACTGCATACAAAGAGGTGAGCTCAAAGCATTCTTGATACTCTCCACACTGATAGTAGTAGTCAGCATTGCAGACCAATAAATCAGCATTATTTTTTAGCACAAGCATGAAGGGTGAACTCGAATTGGTGCAAGGGTTGTCTCTCTCAATATCTCTAACCTTTGCTTCCACAACATTTTCTTTTTCATGCTGTAGTTACAATTCAAGAGAAAGCGGAATCACATAACTTGACAAAATAGTAAATTAAATTCACACAAATAGCAAAAAGTCACGAGTTTCTACCTTCTTCACTAAACATGAATAAATTGTTGACAGCCATTGGTCCTCCTCGCCAAATTGTAGAGATGCTAACAGGCTTGATTCTGAAAATTATGTAATAATGTATTAAGCAAAAATATACTACAGATTACTCAAAGTAAGCAACTAAAATTAACAAAATTGCTCAAATAAGGCCAACTTCAATTCAAGAAAAGTTTTTAAACCTTGCCCATAACAGGCATGACAGGCAGGCCTAAGTTTTGCTAAGGAACACCATTAAGTCTCAACAAAGATAGCCCAACTAGAAGGTGTGACCAACATCTGAGCAGCTTTATGCAAAAAATGAAAGCCCAAAAACCAAAAATATGACAATAATGATTGGTTCAGGTAACATGATATGATAAATGTGCACCACTGCACCTCCACCTAAAAGGCGAAACACTTATGGAGCACCATGTCAATTTCCTTAGAAGTGCTTTCTTTGGTACTGAACAACATAGCATAATAACAGAAAAATAAAGCTAAATGAATCATACATATGATAAAGTAATACGATTAATCACCTATTGTTAGATAGTGTTAAATCTAAATTCACATGAAACTCCATAAATACGGTAGCTTTGTCAGCCTTCTCTTTCTAAACTTTTATATTTTTCACGGCTAGTTCAAGATTACAATCAAACCAAAAACATAATCCCACTTGGTTCAGCTAATTCTGCAGAAAATTGAGAGGCAAAAAATAAAGCCACTAATCAGGTCTATAAAACAGCAGCTTGAAATATAAGATCTCTTATAGGATAGTCACTCTCCTTTCGAAAGTTTCATGCCCATAAATGTATTAATGAAGCACTTAAGAGTACTAAGAAGGTATGAATGTAACTTCCCTATAGAATAAATGTTCGTTTTCCAGAGATTACACAGCTTTTTTGTTATTTAGTTTCACAATGCTCAAAAATATTTAAGTGCATTTATCATCACCAGCAGAAATTGCATCCACTATCCAAAGACCATAAACAAGCTGTCGGGTTAGCTTTCTGCAAATTCTTACGGTGAAAATGCATCATAAGATTATATGTGCATCAGTTCTTCTCACACTGAAGGAGACAAGCAAAAAAATCATATGACTTTACCATTAAAATATATAGATGTATATGATTGAAGTAACCTACATAAAATTATGGTTAAATTGCATCTATGAAATATTTTTAAATAATTACAAGTACTTTTAGAGTATCAAGCAACAAATGATTTTATCATGAATTTTTTATATTAAATTTTGAAACCGAAGTATTTGAAGCAAAGAATATTTTTAGAACTTGATGTCTTAATCACAAGAATATATATTTTGATGCTTTACTATGAAAGCTTTGTTATCTAGAGACATGAGGGATATTCTGCGAAACTTGGTGGGATAATGCCCTTACAGAATTTGCAAATAAATTATTTTCTTCTATCAGAAATTCAGCCTCGCCAAGCTAGCTTCACCGACTAGTCAACAACACAGCTTTGATTTGTGCTGAACAAGGCAGCAAGCAAAATCGCTAGGTTGCTTCCCTGCTTGCAAGGGAAGTAAAACAATTGCAGCTAAGCATTAATTAAAATATGTCAGAGGCAAAAAGAGAATATTATGATGGTCCTATGGACAAGATGAGGTTGCATGAGCTTTTCAGCAAGATGTAGGGAGAGGTAAGGCTGCTCTTGCCATTGATGTTTCTTCGAGGCCATCAGAACCACTGTGCCTTCGACACTCTAGTGCCACCGCTTTATTCTCAGTCTCCAAATACAGCAGTGACTGCCAGAAAAAACAGCTATCAGTGTTGGTGAATATTCTTGACCAAGTCGTCATCTAATGTTATGCTCATCTTTTGCAGCCTTTCCTTCTCCCAAACTTGATTTGGGTTTGTTCTACTGGAAATATTTGACAATTTTTTTCTAAGCCCTCAGTGTCTGGGCTCCACTTGATATTTGTTCTAATTGTGAAGTCAATCTCACAATATAGATTGTTAGCACTAGCATATTATTGGAAGGCTTTCTATTTATAGTTATTGAACTTTGTTTATTTCAGTGTTCCTCCAAACACTATTTTCAGCTTCGCTATTATAATTAAGGGAGCGCTTCTATTAAATAATAGAGAAGTTTCCTTAGCCAATGCACCTGACCAAATATATAAATTCCTTCTAATTAAGTGCTTTTTATAGAAAAATTGATGGTAGAAAATATCAATGATCAATATCATTTATAATCGCAGTTCTGTTATTATGTATCATTGCTTCTATGAATATTATTGCATGACTGATATTTGTACTTGTGATGGAGCGTGCCCTATAGATTACTGCACCTGCAAAATCATTTATTCATGTATGCTGTAATGCCCTGTCAAAAGAAAATAATAGAAGGAAATTGATTTGATTAATGAAGTTTCAACTGAAACGACAATATTCAGTACGCCACTTAATAAAAACACAGCGGGAAAAGAAAGCGAACTGGTGTGAACAAAACAAACAGCAAGCAATAGTGCAGGAATGAAGACGAAAAAGATGGGCTCGCTCGACGACAGAAGTGGGAGACAAAGTGAGCAGGAGAAGCAATAGTGCAGCGAGAACAAGCTCAAGCAAAGTAAGTCCGCTGTTTAGGTGATGTTCAAATGAACAGTAAGCTGAGAGGAAGCAATAATTAAATTCAAGCAAGATAGAATACAGGAGCACAGAATCGTGTGAATCCGAGAGGCAAATCACAGAATCAATGCAAGAAACCATTGTACAGTATTGTGATTGGCAAACGGGGAGCGGAATTGGAGAGCATGATTGAATGAGACTGAACTAGTGGTGCACACGCAGGAATGAAACACAAATTGGAGGGCAACTTAGCCTTTCAATAGAAAATGAGTAGTCAAGTAAATGTCAAGTTAGGATTTCGATTTGCCTATGCTTTCTCACGTATTTTATAAATTTTCTCAATGAAGGATGAATATATATATATATATATATATATATATATATATATAGATATAGATAATTTATCCTTACATTGTTTGTTGGTTTATATGGATCGCCCATAAAGACTTCAAGCATGCAGGTAAAAATATTAGTAGTGCTACGGTTTTTGCTAACATCATTGCATATATTAACAAAAATTTTACTTTGGGAGCTGCGAAACTCAGCTTCTTCTCGGGCATTTCATATTTTGAATCCTTGGAGACCTCCAATACTGTTGGGAGGAGGATACCGCAACTCCCGGTTTTGGTGAGATGGCGGCCTCCTCGTACCAAATGGGTCAAAATTAACACAAATGGAAGCTGAAAACTTTCTAATGCTGGCATTGGGGTATTGCTCGGAATGTTGATGATAATTGTATTCTCTTCTTCTCCTCCCCTTGTTTCACCTATAGCCCCTAGAAGCTGAGGCTAGAGCCATTTTGATGGTTGTTACTATTGGTTTATCGCTTAATTGGCAATTCATTATTTTTTAAACTGATTCTCATATTATGTTTGACATACTTAATTGTGGGGTTGAAGTGTTGTGGGATATCCGGTATTGCATTAAGAGAATTAAGCTCATCTCTTCCCATCTATCTGTTATTTAGAGGTTCATTCATCGTGAGAGAAATAGGCCGGTCAATTGGCTTGTTGTATTTGGCATTGATAATAACAATATTCAGGTGGGGAGGGTGCCACCCCCCTCTTTGAATATTTTGGTTGTGGAGGATAAACTCGATGCACCATACGTTCGTGGTTAATGGTTTGGTGAGCCTGTTGTTTAGGCTCTCCCTTTTACTACTAGTATGTTTTTTTCCTCAACTATTACTAACATTATTGTTGTTGGTTTAATCCTCCACTTTTTTTTATGTTTTTTGGTCTTATCTGGGCCATTTATGGTTGCCTGGGGATTACCATGTTTGTCGTCTATGCTTCTTGGATGTTCCGGGTTTGGCTGCCTGCTTTGGTCTGATACCTTGTGGTCTCTGTTTGGTTTTCTCTTACTAGCTTTTTGGATTCATGCATTCACTGCATGCTTCATCGCTGGCTTCCTTGTTGGTTAGCGTTTAGCAGGACACCTGAATGTTGGGCTATGTGGATATAGTCTTAATTGGAAACAAGTTTTCACATATACGAGTACCACCTTTTTTTCTCTTTCTCTGGATCAGGGGATCTCAACGAGTAGAAAATTGCTGATGTCTGGACTTGGATTCACATATGGCTTGGCTATTTCTTCAGCTATATTGGACTGCAAATGTGCGCGTTGCTTTGCCCTTGTTTATATGACTAACACGGTCTCTTTAATAAAAACACATACTTGGCATACTTTATTTTTTGGGGTCTCTTTTTTGTCAGTATACTTGTATGGTATTTGGTTTTATTTTTCTTTTGGGTTTCAAGTTGTAATGATGGAGACGGAACCCCTATGGTGTGAGTATTATATTTTTTTGGATTTTAGTAGCGGGGATCTGTCCACATCCCTTTGTACCTCTTTATTTTGATTAATATATAGGGAGCCGAATAACGCTCCTCTCGGCTCCGCTAGTGTTTCGACCCATGTAAAACCATAGCAACCCTTATAGCAAGATCATTTCTCCGGCTTCGTCTCTCTATCCTCTCCATCGTCGTCGGCTCACGGCTTCGAAGTCGACTACGGCTCGCATCTTGTCATCTCTGTTCGAAGCCTACAGAGTTCGCATCTCGTCATTTCTGTGCGATTGCATCTCACGGAAGACGGGAAGGGGCCGCGTCTTCCTCACAGAAGACGGGAAGGGATTGCATGCTCGTTTCCTCTTTCGTCTTCCTCTCGACTCAGCTCAACTGCACCGAGTTTTGGTCTCTTCAGTTCCTGACCGTCTTTGCTTGTCATTCCTGCCCTCTGATCGACTTGGAAGAGTTCTAAGCTGTGATGGAGCTTCCGTCTTCTTCAGTTGAACCTGGCAAAGCCTCCTTTGCCCATGTGGTGGGTAATCCTCAGGTGGAGACGGCGGTTGTATTCCCCTCAAGTTATAAAGAATATCATGATAGTACAGGTGACTGTCCATTTATTAAGAATGCAAGCAGGAAAAGTGGGAAAGCAGCACACTTTTTTCTCGGAGTTAGAAATGTCAACTCTGATTGACAAATTCA